GTCTATGAATTATATCTCAATAAATCTATAACCTAAAAGAATTTAGGTTATAATTCCTGTCTGAAATATATATTGTTATATACTAGTATCTTAAAGATAGAAAACATGATTCTAATATTTGATAGGAGAGAAATCCAGGAAATTAATGCATTAGTGTGTTCATGTTAATTGCTCAACACTGATGCAAGAATACTCTATGTCACTAAATGCCTACTGATTTTCATACTATAAAAAGATTTCTTAAATGCTTTTGCCACAAAATAAATTTAGAAATTGTCTTGACTTGAGGCACCTGAGTGGCTCAGTTGGTTGGGTGTCTGCCTTCAGCTCGGGTCATGGCCCCAGGGTTTTGGGATTGAGCCCCGCATCATCGAGCTCCCTGCTCAGCAGGGAGCCTGCTTCTCCCTCTCCCCTGCTGCTCCTGCTCTCTCTCACTATCTCTCTCTCTCAAATAAATAAGTAAAATCTTAAAGATATTTAAAAAATAGAAAAAAGGAAATTGTCTTGACTTTAAATTTGGTGAATACTTCCTGACTTCATGTGGGAATATAAATAATTTTTAAATCTGTCAAATTGTAGATATGTATTTCTAAGTACCCATTAATTTACAGTTTCTCAATACAAAGTTTTGTAACATGCAGAACTTTTTTTTTTTAAGATTTTATTTATTTATTTGACAGAGAGAGAGGGAGAGAGCACAAGCAGGGGGAATAACAGGCAGAAGGAGAAGGAGAAGCAAACTCTCTGCTGAGTAGAGAGCCAGACATGGGGCTCGATGCCTTCCCCGAGAAAGCAAATGCTTAACCAACTGAGCCACTCAGGTGCCCCAACATGTGTAGCTTTTTAAGTGTATATATATAGTTCTATTTTATCTTCTTAAATTCTGTTTATTAGAGTTTCAAATACAAAATATTAATCAGTTCTTGACCTAGTTATATAGTGTCATATTACCAAATGTCTCCACATACCAGACATCGGTACTACCCACACTCATGTGGGTACTTGCAAGCTGGACCCCGCTTCAAGAGAAATCCCCTCCATCATGACATCCCCCATGAAAGAAAAAGAGATCAGGTGGTCCCCAACTGCCTTTACTGCTGGTGCAGACAAATGCAGCCTTGACCATTGAGGAACTCTGAAATCTTCACTAAGGCTAATCTCAGCTGACAAAGGTGAATAGAGACTACATTGCTGGAACTTCTCCAGAGCTAGAAACACCATACTCGACCCAGCCAGCACTCTTATGTCCACAGATGAAGATCTTTCTCTACCAAAACCATTCCATAAAACCTGGAAGTGGTGACTATTTCATCAAATGCACAGACATCAACACAAAGCTATAGAAAGATGAAAAGTCAAGAAAACATGACACCACCAAAGGAATATAATGATTTTCCAGTAACTGAGGGCAAAGAATGTAAATCTACAAATTGACAGACAAATAATTCAAAATAACTGTTCTTAAAAAGTTCGGCAAGTTACAAAAGAACCCAGATCCACAACTCAATGATATCAGGAAAAGAATATGTGAATAAAATAATAAATTCAAAACAGAGATCAAAATTATATAAAAGAACCATTAGAAATTCTGAAGCTGAAGAATAAAATGAATGAAATTAAAAAATGCAATAGAGAACAACAACAGACATATCAAGCAAAAAAAAGAAACCATGAACTTGGAAACATATCATTTGACACTACCCACTAAAAGAAAAAAACAAACAAACAAAAAACAATGAAGAAAGCCTACCTAAATTATGGAACATCACCAAATGAAGTAATATTAGCATCATGGGAGTCCAAGAAGAAGAGAGAAAGGGGCAAAAAGCTTATTTAAGGAAATAATGGCTGAGAACTTTCAATATCTGGGGAGATATATGAACATCCAGGCACACTAAGTCATCACATTGTACACTTAAAGTATATACAACTTTGTCAATTATACCTCAATGTTTAAAAAAAGATTTGATAAAGCTAGCTGGTATATAACAGATGTTCATTATATATACTTATATACACATATACAAACACTTATGTATACAAATAAATATATATAAAAATTAAAACATATGTGTGTATATAAATAGTTTTTAATACACTCTTTGGTGTTAATGCAGTATTTTTTATACCAGATAAAATAAAATTTAAAAAAATTTTTTAATTAATTAACTTTTTTTTAGAGACAGAGTGTATGAGTGGAGCAGGGCAGAGGGAGAAGAAGAGAGACTCTTAAGCAGGCTCCTCATTCAGCGCAGAGCCCCACGCAGGGCTCAATCTCACGACCCTGAAATCATGACCTGAGTCAAAATCAAGTCGGATGCTCAACTGATTAAGCCACCCAGGCACACCCAGAATTTTAAATTTTTTATATTGCTTATTTATTTCTGTCTAGTCACAGTGATTTCATAGCTTTGTAGAGCACAGTTTGCTTTAAATTTATATCAATATAAAAAAATAAAATATTATTTGCTAAGAGGAGATAGTATGTTAGGTTTTTATACTTTCATTTTTTCAAAAGCAACTATTATTACCTAAGTAACTACAGTTCCAAATGGTTTTCTGCTTAAAACATTTAAATCCCTGAGATAAAATTGGGCCTAGTGGACATAAACATATCCATCAATTTTTCTCTGGAATTCTCAGTAAACACATTATACATTCTCCCTAGTGAGCTGACATTTCAAGCATGAACTTACCTATAAATGGTGAAGTCATAATCCTGAATATGTTAATGAGTGAGTTACATGAAGCAATGAAAAACGTTAGTATATGAGCATCTATAAAAATTCTTTGAATTTTTACTAAAAGTAGCAGTATGATTTAAAGATATATTCAATTTCACAAATTAAAAGTATATAAGGAAGAATCAAGATGGTAAACCACCCAACAAAAACTCTAAATATTAGAGATGATATTCATCAGATTTAGATGTCACTCCATGGCCTTAATAATTCAAAGACAATTAGACTTTTAAATAAGTAGACGTTTAAATAAGCTCAAAGTTACTTTGAGACTACAACAATTCAAAAAGGCACTCTCTGCTGCCCCAAAGAGATACTTTTCTAACCTCCACTATATAACCAATTGAAAATGGTATGATATATGAACTCTTCAAAGTACGGTCCTATTACATTCTGAGATAATTTCTAGTACTACTCTGACCATTAGGAGACAAGTTTTTATGTTCAAACCTCAGGCATCAAAAAGGCACTCAAGATAGCTTATAGAAACAAGGAAGAACTCTGCAGAGGATCAGAAAAATATCTGGGCCAATTCAGAGGAACAAGACAGCTGAATATTGTAGCCAGTGCAAAGAAAAGATGGCTAACTGCCCAGATATATTTCATGACTCGAATACTTATAAACGTGCACTGTTGGTATAGCTACTGTCATTTGATACAAAAGCTAAAAATTGAATGCACATACAATAACAAAAATATAAAGCACCAGGAGCCCAGTGGGCATTGCCTTTTTGGGGAGAGTTGGACTTTAATAAATATAAACACAGAAGCCAATGTAAATTATCTGTGATCATTTTGCTAACCATATATAATAAACATTCTCCTGTAGTAATTTCATTGACACTAATCATATCCATATATATATTTTTATACAAAGGTTTCTATATTTGCACAATTCTTAGTATATTTTTAACTCCCCAGATATATTTGGGAATCATTCCAGACCACAAGACTCTGAGGAATTGCAGAATTTATCAGACTGACATGTCAACACATATGAATACAGAACCCATACAATGTTGTTTTTATTCAGCAAGTATGTCATAAACAAAATTTTCTAGCTTACAATGCCAGGTAGATGAAGTCAATTAAAGTAATTATAACTGAAAAAATAAATAAATAAACCGAGAAGCTTTAACTCTACAACTTAGTTAACAGGAACATTTTTTCAAAAAGCTAAATTCACATTATCTTCTAGGATCTCAAGATTCCGATGCCATGTAACTTTACATTCCCACCATATCGTTTAATGTAGAGTCAAAGGGCACACCATTGTTAAGTACTATCTTGCAAATTAAAAGAAATAATCAAGACAACAAAGGCTATTTCATTTCACCAAGATAGAATAATGCTTCCATTTTGCTTATTGGTTTTTTTTTTCATTTTTAAATACTGATAAGAGGTCAAAAGATAAGTTCATCTTAAAATGATTTAATCATGCTTCTAACCAGTCATAATTAAGGTATTAAAAAACTAAGACAGTAGTCTAAGATACCACAGTCATGGAAGACAGGATCACCAGGGTTTGAGACCGGCACTTTCACTTGCTTGAGCGATTTAAGTATTTAAAACTGGTTTCCTCATTTTCTAGATGAGAAAAATAATAATGGTATCTACTTCCCAGAATTCTTGTTAGAGAGTAAGGAATAAAAGGATCTGAACAAGTTATGTAAAACTGGAAAGAAATATATGAATTAATTGCATTATCATCAAATAATAATTTTACCCTGAGAAGCAAGCTATTCAACATATAACCTAATAAATGTGCTTCTTTATATTTATACCTTAATTAAAACATTTTTAATTAAATAAACATTCATCTAAGTAAATTGTGTAACTATTGATGTCCTCCCTTTTAACAATTTGGAGGTAAGAATAATTGATGTATTTTATAACCAAGAGTGATGACTCAGTTTTGTTTTTAAAATATAATCCCGTGCTTTTTAATCTTTGTTTTATTATGTATTTTGTTCAATTAACAAAACATACATGTGCTTCCAATTAAACCTTGTGAATAGATATTAGTTGAAGGAAAGATGTTTATTACATTTCTGAGTCAACTCTATGTTCTTTTTTCTTATTTGGTTCATTTGATGCAAACACAATAATAGTGTAATATATTCCTTCTCAGTGGTGATTAACAAATTACCATTTTGCTTTCAATATACTCATTACCTGAATGAGACTTTAGATAGTACCAAATATAGTTAAAATATTAAACACAACAATCAAAGATAAAATATTTGCAACAAACCATACCTAGTAATAAGAACAGCATTATCGTGGTGGGCAATCCCATTTTCTGGAATGGTGTTTCCATCACTTTGGTGAGAGAGAATGGATTTCTGCCATTTACAGAAGCTATCGAGGGACTTGTCTGCATGGTGGTTTATCTCCAAGTTTGGCTGCAATACAACATGCATACCAGAAATGTTCCAAACAAATTACTAAGGTCAGTTGTTAAAACTTTTGAAGAACTAAAGTGGGACTATAATTAGAAGCAGTGGTTTCTAGGAATAATCTCTTGCCAATTTTTATCTCTGTAATATCTGACCTAGAGTTAATTTAGTGTACTACTGAATATTCTTTCCAGTTCCAGCTTTAATGATCATGTGAATATATGGGATTCTCAGCAACCAAAACCACTATTATTAGATCTGCCAAACAAATGCTCATCTTTATACTGAAACATATAGCTAATATACATATATAGAGCCTTAACATGACATAGGAGGTATATTCTCATAAACTACTTAAAATTTGCTTAAAATATTAAATGCTTAGTGGTGAAGATCATATTCAACTAGAACTTCCTAAGAGGATCAATAATAAAATATTTTATTTTATACTACATAATTCTACAGTCTGTCTGTTAAGGGTTTTAGATTTCTAAACTAACTCATTCTTACCTGATCTTCTGTAAGAACAATTAAGCGGGCCACTATAATATTCACAACGTTTCCTAGGCTGGAATCACGGTAAAGTTTGGCAACCTGACCTCCAGAAAATAAGAAAAGACACAAAGTCAGACAAAAATCATAGGCTGATTGTTTAATATTTTTTTAAAGAATGGTAAAACAATTTTTCATAAATTAAACCACTTTGTATATAAAAAGATATTATTTTATCTCATATCACTTAGAATTCTACCCTCAAGATGCCTCCATAAAAGTTTTTATACAAATCTACCTCAAGAAATATTTGCTCCTAAAACTGAACTACAACATAGTAATTAAGAGGGTGAGCTGATGTTTCAAGTTAAAGAAAACCTCTTAAACAAGATTTAATACGACCCATTCAAAAAGTCATGTTACCTAAAATGAATAATAAGGTCACTTTTAAATTTATTTCCTATGGAACTGAAACATTAATATATTAATTCTTTCTCATTTTAGATGAGTAAATTCTTAAAATCATTAATTCACATTAAAAATCCATGACCTTAGTCAAAACCACAAATTATTAAGTTAAAATATTATAGAGAGGCATCAAACTTACAATATTCATCACACTCAAAATGTAATGTTCAATGTCTTTGCGGCCATGGTAGCCCACCATCATTTTGTCTGCCACTACCAATGTCTCCACAAACCGCTCAATGCTTACTGATCTCTTCTGTCTGTGGCGGATATGCGTGCCATTAATTGGTAGTGAAGAAGGAAAAGTAGATGTGTCATTCAGCCACCAAGGTTTGCCACTTCTTATGAGGTCTATAATAAAAATAATTAACTAGTTCAGATAGGTTCACCAATTAAGCTAACTTATTTTTAAATCTTTCATATAGACATGCTTCTCACAAATTCTCTAAAGTATTAAGATTTTTCAGTGAAGAGAGGGGATGAGGAAATGTGGTAGTAAGAAAATTAAACTCTTTAAAGTATTCAAAATAGTCATTTTACCTGAAACAAATTAAACATTAATAACATTCAGCTACTCATAACAAAAAATAAGCCTAATGAATTATTTAATAAAAATATTTTTAAATAATCATTTCATATTACTCCAATGACCAACTATGTCATAATATTTTTGTATATAGAATATGTACTTCATAAAGCTTTTTTAAAAACAACTAGAGCATTAACTTTCTAAACACCCTAAGACAGTTCTGATGAAGAACATCAATATTGCAAAAATCTGTTACTTTTTTTTTTAAGTAAGCTCTATGCCCATCGTGGGGCTTGAACTCACCACCCCAAGATCAAGAGTCACATGCTATAACAACTGAGCCAGCCAGGTACCCCCAAAATCCTATTCCTAAAATGCCTCTGAGCATTTATTTTAAAGTAAGATCCTTTATTAAACTATCTTAATTAGAGCAATTCTGCTCTAGAAATTTCAATTCTAAAAGGCTGTGAATTAAGTTTTTCATTTAGTTTTGCAATATACAACTATTTATACTAACAGAGTACCCAAAGTATTACTCTTCTAAAACCTAGAGGTAAATGGTGCTACAATGAGAGTTGAAAGATTATGATTACAGCATGAATTCCTTTAAACCACATTTTACTCCGGATTGCAGTTTAATCCTTTGTTTTCTAACGGTCCTTCAGTACAGAGAAAACCTTTTAGTACTATGGCATTTGTAAACACTTGTCTCATTTATATTCATCTTTATTTAATAAACTTGAACAAGTATAATTCCTCTACATACCTTACTTTCATATCTGTAAGATCTTTCTAACAACTACTTATTAAAAAATTTAGTGAGGAAGAATCAGATTAATTTTTATAATATAATTCACAGAATCTGGCAGTATTCTCTATTATTTTTCTAATTTCTTTAGTTTACCTTTTAAAAATTACTTTGGTAAAAGTTATAAATTTTAAGAAATAAGAGATAGAAATGACTATGACAGATACCAGTAAAATATTTTTGAAGCTCATATAAATTGAGTATTTTTATTCCTAAAGGCCAAGAGAGGCAGAGACATATTACTTCTTATTTCAATAGTATAACTTCTAGACAGCCAGTAAGTATTCCCCTATTCCAGACAGACTCTTAAGGTGGCCCCCATGACCTCCCAATGTTTACACTTCATGTGATCTCTTCCCCTTTAGTGTGGGCGGGACCTGTATCTTGCTTCTAACCAAGAGAAGACAGCAAAGATAAAGGGATATACATGAATACATACATATGAGTACATAATTATGTTACATAATATTGTAGCATCTTTCTTACTAGAGTTTTTCCCTTGTTGGCTTTAAGGAAGTAAGCAACCAATTTGGTGAACTGTACATGGCAAGGAGCTACAGATGGCCTCTGGCAGAAACCAGCCCCAAACTAAAGCTTTCAGCCTTTTAATAGCAAAGAACTGAATGTTGCCAACAACTATGGGAATACGAAGGGAGATTCTTCGTCAGTCAAGACTCCAGATGAGAATCCAGTCCTGACTGAGACTAAGTCAATTAGCTCATTCACGTACAACTGCTGTTCCACAGAAACTGAGATAATAAAAGTATATTGCTTAAGCCATTGAATTTATGGTAATATTGTTATGAAATGGTCAAAATCCTTTCTGCATTAACATAATTCTAATTTTTTTTTTTGCTCAGTCAAGATCAGAAAACCATTCATGTATTTAAATCATGCCTAGTTTTCCCTTCCTCTGGATGGACAGCCTAACTGTCTAAATATAGAATTTGATTTCCATTATTTTGATCATTTTCACTCTTCTAATCCATTCAATTTCTCCTTATATTTATTTAAAGTATTTGTGAAAAGAAATAGACTTGACTGGGCAAAATAAACACAGCAATGGTGTTTCTCATTAGCACTCAATATAAAGTAGCTACTGTTATCATTTTCATAAATTTCAGACTTTTAGCTTTTTAAATTGTTGGTTTGCTTGGTTATCACTTCATCAGATAAATGTATATATAATGTCTTTGATGGACATTCATAAATGGAAAGAGTCTTACACGCAAAGAATTTGTAGTCTGAGATATATATATATATATATAAAATACACACACAATGAATAAATGTAATCAAGATATCTGGTTTCACTTTTAAAATTAAATTAATCCAGCATGATTGCATCATTACGAAACAATATCTACATTCTGTAATTGTCAATTGGCTGCTTAATGTTAAGCTTAATGATCTGTAACTAATACATTGTTTAGTCTAAAATAGAATACACAACTGACTTGTTTCAAAACAAAGATTAGTAGTTATTCAAATGATACTTACTACATATGCTCAATTTAATTCTGGATAGAGTTTAGAATGTCAAAGAAAACATTCTTCCATAAACACATACAATAAAGAACTTTCCCCCAAAACCAAATTCATAGATCTCTTTGTCATCTGAAATAAGATCTTAAATTTTTGATCAGTCTCAAAATATTTTTTTAAGGTTTTATTTATTTATTTGACAGAGAGAGACACAGTGAGAGAGGGAACACAAGCAGGGGGAGTGAGAGAGGGAAAGCAGGCTTCCCGCGGAGCTGGGAGCCCGATGCAGGGCTCTATTCCAGGACCCTGGGATCATGACCTGAGCTGAAGGCAGACGCTTAATGACTGAGCCACGCAGGCGCCCCAGTCTCAAAATATTTTTAATATATACAGTCATTCAAAATTATTGCATTGACCTGCTTTATTTTTCACTAGTAGCACTTATTACTTCTTGATAGATGGCCATGTATTTACTTGTTGGCTTGATTGCTTTTTTTTTTACTAACTCTCTTCATTAGAATATAAGCTTCATGGGAGCAGAGACTTTTCTTGTTTTATTTATTGCTGCATCCCAACACCTAGAAAAGCCTGATACATACATGCTAAATAAATATTTATTTAATAAATACATAAGTAAACAATACAGGTATAGAGACATGATAATATCTACATCAATGGACAAGAGCATTCAGTTATCCCTGGATAGTGGTAAAAGAGCAACTTTCATTTCCTTTTTTTTCTTTTTACCCATATTTTCTAAATTTTCTACAAAAAACAGGTATTTCTTATTATTTATTTTGAAATTGATAACATAATCTAATTAGAATGGGAAATTTATATCTGAATATGAGATAAATATGCCCACTCTCAAAAGGGTTTTTCTATCTTATATTTTGATATAAAATTGAGTTCCCAATAACAGGTTAACTGGCAATTAACCCCTATAAATGTACATGTCACTTGAATTATGCTGTCAAAACAGTATCATAATTAAGATCAGTAGTTCTTAACCAGACATTTCCCAAACTTATTAAACATAAAATACTTTTTTTTAGTGATATTCCTATAGAACTTAGGGAACTACTACTGATTTTCCACTCTTGGGAAGCCAGTGAAAAGTTTGAAAGTATATAATATAGGGCACCTGGGTGGCTCAGCTGGTTAAGCGTCTGCCTTCGGCTCAGGTCATGTTCCCAGAGTCCTGGGATTGAGTCCCGCATCGGGCTCCCTGCTCAGTGGGGAGCCTGTTTCTCCCTCTCCCTCTGCCTCTCCCCCTGCTTGTACTCTCTCTGTCTCTCTCTCAAATGAACAAATAAAATCTTGAAAGAAAGAGAGAAAAAGAGAAAGGAAGGAAGGAAGAGAGGAAGGAAAGAAGTATAATACACCCAGATGTAGGGGACAGCCCACTAAAGACAAAAACAAAGCTGAAGACAGGAAGACCCCAGTTAGAAAGTCATTACAGTGGTGCAGGCAAGAGATAACAAGGGTCTGAACTAAATGGACTGGTGTTAAAGGTAACAGAAATGACTAGTGAATAGGTTAAAAGTGAGGAAATAGTCATAGTAATTCACTCAAGATTTTTCAGCCATTCAAGAATATCTCATTCACCTGCTTTATTTTTTGCAAATAGCACAGTAATCCAGGGGGAGAGACTGTAAAAGAAGAAAATCTTCCTCAACAAGGGCAGAATTTTATGTTGGCAATAAGAGTAGATTTGCTGAACTATTTGATTCATGCCTCAACCTTTGGAAATGAAGGATCTGCCTCAGTAAGACCAGTGAATAATAAGATGGGGCACTTCAAAAGAGGATAATTTGAATATCTAAGGTTAAGAGTTATCTTTCAGAATACAGTGAAATTTTTAAATATTTTTGCAAAAAGTCATCTTTACGATCATGAAGTGAAGGATGTCATGTTATGGAAAAAATGATGGGAAAATTATATTGCAATAAACAACTAAATATTTGAATCCTAGTTTTTCAAGAATTTATATAAAGTTGTACTTATAGGGGCACCTGGGTGGCTCAGTCGTTAAGCATCTGCCTTCGGTCAGGTCATGGCCCCAGGGTCCTGGGATCAAGCCCCGCATCGGGCTCCCTGCTCAGTCAGCGGGAAGCCTGCTTCTCCCTCTCCCACTCCCCCTGCTTGTGTTCCTTCTCTTGCTGTGTCTCTCTCTTTCAAATAAATAAATAAAATCCTAAAAAAAAAAGTTGTACTTATAGCCTAAATTTGGTAAATATAAGATAAACTATTTCCATAATGTTTAGTTTCATTACTCAATGCAAAGACCCATCAAAATATTTTTCATTGTTTCCTATGAAATTTTATTTCATGCCTTAAGCAGCTTCACTTGAAGTGGCCTTTTTCTAGTACCAATTACTCTTCATCAACAAGGACATCCCAGAGATTACTCAAGAAGAGAGTATGTAGAATGAAAACAGTCACTTGAAGAAAGAACTCCCAAGAACACTTAAACTTGAAGAAGAAGAAAAGGAGCCCAAGAAGCATATGGATATAAACAAAACAGTGATGCATTCACTAATTCATAAAATAACCCATTCTATTTTTTATAAATCTACCTGTTGAACTCATCCCATTTTTTTTCTAAAATTACTTGCTGGTGAACTTTTCTTTGTATTAAGCTGAAACCTGCTGAAATACTGAAATACCCTGCCCTTGGTTCAACCTACAAGAACTACACAGAACAAATTGAATCTTTAATTTTTTTAAAGATTTTATTTTTATTTATTATTATTAATTTTTTTTTAGAGAGAGAGGCGGGGAGGGGCAGAGGGAGAGGGAGAGAGAGAATCCTAAACAGACTCCCCGCTAAGCACATGAGCCCAACTTAGGACTTGATATCATAACCCTGAGACCACGTCCTAAGCCAAAATCAAGAGTCGGGCACTTAACCGACTGAGCCACCCAGGCACGCCTTTAAAGATTTTTTTTTTAATTTTTTTAAAGATTTTATTTATTTATTTGACAGAGAGAGACACAGCGAGAGAGGGAACACAAGCAGGGGGAGTGGGAGAGGGAGACAGAAGCAGGCTCCCTGCTGAGCAGGGAGCCCGATGCAGGGCTCGATCCCAGGACCCCAGGATCATGACCTGAGCCAAAGGCAGATGCTTAACAACTGAGCCACCCAGGCGTCCCTAAAGATTTTATTTTTAAAAAAAAACTCTACAGCAAATGTGGGGCTCAAACCCACAATCCCAAGATCAAGAGTTGCATGCTCCATCAACTAAGCCAGCCAGGTGCCCCTAATCTTTTTTTTTTTTTTTAATATAATGGCTCTTTAAATACTAGAAACAGTCATCTCATTAATAATGATAGCTACAATTTGAGCAACTAATGTGTGTTCAAAAAAGTATTTAAAGAGGTTGGTTCATTTGTCCAAAGCTACACCAAAGCCCATATTCTTTCTACTATGCCAAGCTATATCCTCTATTCTGTAAGTTTTCTAATCTTTAGACTAAACAGCCTCCTAACCCCTCACCTATAGTCTTGTTCTTCTCTCAGTCAGTCTCCACGGGACTGCCAGGGTAATACTTCTAACACCCAAATCTGATCATGTGATTCCTGCTTAAAACCCTTCAATGGGTTTCCAGCACACTTAGGATAAACAAACTCTTTAATATGGTTTACAAGCCCTTTGTGTCTTGGCCTTCCTTGTCACTTCAGTTTCATCTCTCAGGGCCACTCCTCACCCGTAGGAAATTCACCCCATCCCTCCAGCCCACATTCTAATAACCCGTTCTATGAACTGGCAATGACTGAAATGTGACATTCTACTTTTTGATTCGGGACTTTTGTAAATGCTGTTTCTTCTATATGGAACACTCCACCCACTGTTCCCTCTACTTCTCCACAGCTACCTTCTCTTTCTCTCTCAGGCCTCAGCTTAGAAGTCACTTCTTCCACGAAGCCTTCTTTGACCACTAATGTCTAGATTTGCTGTCCCTGCTATGTATTTCTATGGTACCCTAACACTGCCTTTGAATATTACCTTAAGACTCTTCACATCTTACACAAGTGTCTAACATCTCACCATTAGCATAAAAACATCAGGCTAACCAAACAGCACAGAGTACTAGGCAACACTTGTGCTTGAAAATTATAACTATTACCTGGATAAAATAGGGTGGGGTTTGGTTCTCCTTCTAAGAAAGAATAATCTTACACAGACTTATATTTTAAGGACTTCTCAAAGAGCTCCCAACTATTGATAAGTGACATCTTTTTTTTTTCCCACTGAAAAGGAAGGTAGTTTTTTTTTCTCTTTTCTTTTTTTAATGAAGTATAATTAACATATAGTTATATTAGTTTCAGGTATAGAACATAAGGATTCAAAAATTCTGTATATTACTCAGCATTCATCAAGACAAGTGTGCTTTTAATCCCCTTTCTCTATTTTACCCACCCCCACACCCACCTCCCCTCTGGCAACCACCAGTTTGTTCCCTGTATTCAAGAGTCTGGTCTTTGTTTGTGTCTTTTTTTTTTCCATTTTTTTCCTTATTTTGTTTCTTAAATTCCAAATATGAGTGAAGTCATATGGCATTTGGATAGGTGACATCTTTTAAAAGAACTCTGGGGATTGCCCCTCAGGGGAATGCCCCAGACAACAAAGGGAGACCTATAGGGCTTAGATTCCTGGGCTTAGCAATCAGCTGTGCTTTTATTAATCTATATAATATGTACGTTTCCATATAACATTTCATTTGAGAAAGGGTCTTGCTGCTTTAAAAAGAAAAAAGCTGAAAATCTCTGGTCCAGATAATCTCTAAGGTCCCTTTGAATCTAAATCTCTATGATTCTGTTTAGGGAAATTCATGTTAATTCATGCAAATCATTATCATTCTATCATTCACCTTTCCATAGATGTCGGAAGAAAGACAGTGGCAATACAATACAATACACTTTGTAAAAGCCACACACTCACCTGAAACCCCACAATGAGAGTGATCATACAGATGCCGTTGCTGGAGGGTTGACTTTTTGTAAATAACATGAGGATGGCCATTTTCATAACTAAAATGTTTGGAATCCTCTGTGGTATTCTTTAATGGTTCAATAAAATATTCTTCATCTTCTGTAGCAATAACGCCATGCTAAAAGAAGAAGAAACAAAGAATTTAGCAAGAAGAAGAATTTTAAATATCAATTATCATTACCACAAGTCAAAAATAAGTTGATACCTCTCCAAAAAGAAGTTAAAACACGTGTTAATAGAAATTTAGTGGATTATCTATACCCAGCAAAACATTATATAAATTTACCTATACCTTAAAAAGGATGTTTAAAATCTTCTACATGCCATGCATGCCTTGTATTAAGCATGTCACATACATTATTTCCTCCAATCCTCCCCAAAACTCTGTGAGGTAGCAGAGACCTCCATGTGTTCACTAAGACCTTTTTCCTTTTCAAATTGTGCACACAGCTTAACTACATCCTCTGTGTTTAGGGACAGCTCTGTAATTAAGTTTTGGCCAATAGAAAATGAGTGGAATACTATATGCCACTTTCAAGCTCATCCCCTGAAAACCTTCCCAAGGAAAATTCTCTATTCTCTCTGAAAAACTACCTCGGGGAGGCAGAAGTTGAAAGAGAAGCAATCTGGGTCCCTGACTGACTTCATGGAAAGCTGTCCAGCATAGACTTTGATATGAAGGAGAAATAAATTTCTATTGTGATAAACAATGGACATTTTAAAGTTTATGTCACACCAATTAATATGTCCTTAATTGATATATATCCTATATATCTCCATTTTGCAGATGCACTAACAGACTCAGAGGTTAAGAACGTCCCCAACACTATATAGAGATAAATGAAGGAGCTGTATTTCACACAAAGCTCTGCTTATTCATATGATATATTCCTTACACCTATTTACATAGCCAAGTGTTACTCAGCTCAACCATAGTTCCTTTTTAAACCTTTCTCTAGCCCAAATGGAGTAGCTTCACCCTCCTCAGAGTTCCAACAGAGCTTATGATTGATATCATTTATTTTTTTTAATTTTATTATGTTATGTTAATTTATTTTTAATTAATGTCACACTTCTTTGCTACATCTCAACTCTGGAAGCTATATTTACATTTGGTATAACTTTTCAACTGCATATTTTATCTTCCCAACTATACTATTTGCTTTTTTAAGGCAAAAGGTTATGTTTCTAAATCTTTGTATCAGTGATAACCATAGAAAGTGTCTCATATGTAATATGAAGACGAAATAAAAGTTGGTTGATTAAAAGAAATGAGATAGTAAAAGTTATCTGTATTAGAAATAAGAACTTCCATACTGGTCTATTAGTGTTTTCTTAAGTATGGCACATGTGAGGACTGCTCTTAATCCAACTAATTTATCCTGTAACACTGGGTGAAACACAAACTCTCTTGGTGTATTTCCTCAGCTGGAAAAATGAAAGGGTTGGTGTAAATTAGTGGTTTTAAAACAGCACTCTGGGGAGCCCTAAGGGTTCCAGGGAAGGGCCCTCAGGGGATTGCCCCAGACAACAAAGGGAGACCTATAGGGCTTAGATTCCTGGGCTTAGCAATCAGCTGTGCTTTTATTAATCTATATAGTACGTTTCCATATAACATTTCACTTGAGAAAAGGGTCTTGCTGCTTTAAAAAGAAAAAAGCTGAAAATCTCTGGTCCAGATAATCTCTAAGGTCCCTTTGAATCTAAATCTCTATGCTTCTGTTTGGGGAAATTCATGTTAAGTATCACATGTTTGGAAAGAAAGATAAGACATAATCAGAGTTGCTCTAACTTATAGATGAAGTTGGCAGGCACCTATATGAAATGATCTAAATGCAAAAAACAAAAAAGCAGGCCTTAGTCCCTTCACATTATTTTCACCATTGTTTGCTTTACTTTAAGGATATGAGCCCCTAAGTTAAATGCAAATACTGACAGGAATAACATAATATGCCATTAACACACTCTAATACCTGAGCATGAATTTCTCTACCAGGAAGATTAACAATGAGATAGCAAACTGAGCATGGTCCTACAGAAAATAGGGCATGTATGAGAAGTTTTGGTAAGAGAGAACTGTAAGAAGGGGGTCGAGAGTACTGCCCAGGCAGGGTAGAGCACTAAAGTCATACCTTGCTAACCTGTGGGCAGAAGGATGTTGAAAGGTCGGAGACAAGAAGTTCAGGTTGCTGGGGGAAAATAGAGTCAGTAGTGTGGTAAGTAAACAAAATCTCTAATTTCAAGTATGGAAAGACTTGGGAAAAAAATCCAGAGATTTTAAGTGTTAGGTACTCTGTAGGATGTTGATACACATTATCTCATTTATTCTTAATAGCTCTGTGAAGTAAGTAGTACTATCAGCTCCACTTTGAAGATGAGAAACACAGACTAAGCAAAGTTAAGTAACCAACTCTTCAGTTGACTTTGGAGCTTGGAGGCACTATATTATAATCCCCTTATCCTCTGAGGTTTGTTTCTGACTTTACTTATCCTTTCACTAAGGATGTTCTGAGTGCCTGTCACATGGCAAGTACTATTCTAGGTAGTGGAGATAGAGTAGTGAACAAAACAAACTTCTGGCTCTATGATGGAGCTCGCATTCTGGTGGGAGGACCAAGATAAAAGGGATTCATTCATTAGATAAATGATCAATCAGGTAGTGTTAAGTGTTAAAAAAAAAAAAAGCAAGGTAAGAGGACAGAGAGCAATCAGAAATGAGAGAATTATATAAACTGTTTAGGATGGTCAGGGACATCCTCTCTAATAAAGTGACATTTGTACAGAAACCTGAACAAAGTGAAGGAGCAGGTAAAACAGATATCTTGTGAAAGAGCAGATCAGACAGTGGGAATAACAACAAAGGCAATGAGGTATGAGCACGCCTACAGTATTTGAGAAACAGCAAGGAGCTACTGCAGCTCGAGGGAAGAAAGGGGAAAATGATTATGAAATTAGAAAGGTGCTGGAGGCTAGATGATGGAGGACCTGAAATCGGCACATGCCTAGCAAGAGCCCTGCTCCCTCTTGCATCCTTCAGCATCCACACTCACCTCTACACGGTCTGCCTCAGGCCATCAGGATGAAAATCATCATGCCCCCTTTCCCTGACATGCCAGTCCCCACAAGAAGCCCAAGACCCCCTGGATTCTATCCCCCCCTCTGGTTATGTGCATCATGTTTTCTGACCCCATCTCCTACCTCTCCCCTTCCACCATTTAAAACACTTCCATTGTGCCTTCTCAAACTCATGCTCAGCTTCATTTGTGAAAGTTCACTTCATCTTGCTCAAACACCTGGGTCTCTCTAAATGACACTCTTTATTCCCTGCAATCCTCTGGGATGGTGGATCCTCTGCTTCCTCTCCTCTATGCCTCCTATTGGACCAGGAGGTAGGGTAAGTGTCCTTGTGATTCACTGCCATTTCTAAACAATTCTCACTCTCTTCCTCCTCTAAAACAAAAACAAAACACAAAAAACCCTGCCAGCTTCTAATCTCATGCCATCAACGGCTCCCTCTGCTATTGCAGCTACCTAATGACCCACAGGCACTTTCCTCATTCTTTCAAGGTTTTAGCTTCTGGATCACTGTCACTCTCTGCAATACCACTCCTGAAATAATTGTTGATTTCACTATCTTAAGTCACAGGTTCTTAAAATTTATGTGTGTGTGCCCTGGATCCCTTTAGAAATCTAGTGGGGAAGAAGCCTAAGAACTACTTCTCAGAATAATATTTTAAGTACAGAAAAAAATATATAGGATTATAAAGAAAACCATTGTAGTGAAATACCATTATCAAAGTATTTTTTAAAATGTACTATAAGAACACATATGGCTTTTTCTAATACTTTAAATAAAAAGATCTGCAGTGGATCTAAAAACTATCACAATTTCACAATGGTGGTTAACATAAATAGTATTTTGAAGAACCTGCAAAACTGTAACATGACATGAAAATATCTATAATTTCTGTTGGGGTCAGCTATTACTTTATTGGTTTGTTATCTATATTCATAATTGAAAGAAATGTTAAATTTCAGTTAAGAATTAGTAAAGATAAAGATGTCATTTATCCCCGTTCCAGTTCACAAACCCCCCCGAATTCCATTCATGGACCCCAGGTTAAAGACTACTGACATATATGGTTCCTTCAACCCCTGCCCTCTCAGTCCCTTGACCTGCTCTCCATCAAATACCTTGTCATTCATTTATCTTAGACTCATACCCATAGTCAAACCCTGGAGCTCAGTATTTTCAATACTTGCAACCCTGCCAAAATCTCAATTTCAAGTATCCCATTCTTCTATCTTTCTAGGACTATCCCTCTAGTATCCCAACTGTATGAGATAGTCCTTTTATACCCACCAAGACCTCATGATTCTACCACTTTTTCATTATCCTCCACCTACTTCATGTCCTCACTTCCCTCCTAATCCACCTTCAGTTCCACTTTCCATTCCCTGGCCCTTTTCTCCCTTCACAGAATTTCTTTGGCTAACCCACAACTCTGATCAAACCAGTTTTGCTCCTCTGGGCCTGCAACCTTGCAGCTTCATTTAGCCAGAGGAAAGTACATTGAGATGCTGACTAGTCTCACTTTAAATTCATAACCATAATCTCAACAGTGCCCTTAATGCTTCACGGCAATTATACTATGTTTCTCTAATACATTCAGTATCCTGTTCTCCTGGATAAATATTCCATACTTTCTCATCTCCTCTTAATCTCCTAATAACTCATCTTGCCATCTTCCATTCCAATAAACATCGTACAACCTCCTGCAAACTCCTACAACACAAATACCTGCCTACATGCACCTCATGATCATATAATCTGTTTTATTTCCTCTTATTATAGATGAACTTGAGAAATTTTCCTTCTCTCTACATAATCACTCCCATCTTTATCGAACAAAACAAAACCTCTGATTCCACTCTGCCTTGAGCAACTGATCATTTACTTTTTCAAAAGTCTTTAAAAGATCTATGTACTTTTTTCTCCCATTCCTTTTCAGGTTTTTGCCTATTTTCCATATGCCACCATAATTTTAGCACTGCTTTTGTCAAGGTCAGCAACAACCTCCTCATTGATAAATCCAATGGTCAGTTTTCAGTCCTCTTATTTTGACTCAGCAGCATTTTTCTCTTGAAATAAATTCTTCCTCCTCTTAGCTTCTAGGATATTTGTCTGGTTTTCCTTCAGCTTCCTTAGCCCACTGTTCTTTGCTGTCTCTTCAACATCTTTCTGGCCTCCCTAACCTCCTGGAGTGCCCAAAGGCTCAGTTCCTTAAACCTCTTTTTTTTTTAAACCTCTTCTTTATTCTTTCTATATTCCCCCCTCCCCCAAGCAATTTCATATAATTTCCTGGCTTTAAATGTCATCTCTATATTGATGATTCCCAAATTTATAACTCCATGATTCATATCTCTCTCCTGAATTTCAGACTTGCATATCCAATATCTTACACAACATATCAAGTTTAACATGTCCAACTGAACTTAAGATATACACCTCCCCACAGTATGGTCCTCCTCCAGGTTTTCCATCTCAGTTAATGCCTGAGTCTTTCTCATCTCAACTCATAGCTGCTTTCTTCTAGTTGCCCAGGCCTCAAGCTTGGAATCATCATTGATTTAATCCTGTGTCCTCTAAAATCTACCATCTGGCCCCCAGTTCTCTTTCTAACCTCACCTTCCATTACACTTCCTTTCTTTCACTGAGTTCCAGCCAGGGCAATCTTCTTGCTGTCCCCCCAACACTCTTAGATCACACCTTCATACTTTAAGATTTCCACCTGGAAATCCTCTTCTTCAGATGTCAGCTTCCCTCCCTCATTTTCCTTCGGTCTTCATTCAATATTTTTTCCACCTTAGAACTTATCATTATCCAACGTACTGTGATTTTTATTTATCTGATTGTGTATCTCCTCCACGAGAATGTAAGCTTGGTGATGACAGGAATTTCTCTTTTGTTCACTGTTGTCCTCCTAGCACCTAGATCAGTGCCTATTATATATAGGTACTTATAAGTATTTGGTGAATGGATGAGTGAATAAGGGAAAATATAGAAAGGCAACTATGGACATAACTAAGAAATAAGAACAAAATGTAAAGAAATGAACAATCAAAAATGAAAATCTCTTGAAAGTCAGGAGCATGACTGCTTGTAATTTTTAAATCAACTGAAGGAAAAGAAAGCAAAATTGGAGAAATCTCATATAACTTAGAACAAAAAAGAAAAAGAAGGAAAAAGAGAAAGACAAGGGAAGTAAAGAACCAATTACAAAAAGGCAGGGGGTGGCGAACAGGAAGAGAAAATTATTAAGGAAATAATTTTTTTTTAATTTCTCTAAACTGAAGGTGTGTCTTTACATTGAAAGCATCCATTAAATATAAAATAAGGATAAGGAAAGAAGATCCACAGCTTAACACATTATTATAAAATTCTTAAAATAGGAACGATAAAGAGAAGATCATATCACTTTCATTGAGGAAAAATCTTAGGAAAGGAAAAGAAAAGAACAAGAAGCAGACTTCTATCTGCCACCCAAAATGAATCAATGATAATTTTTTAAAAGATCTTTAAATTTTTCCCTAAGACATAAAACCATACTCATAAATTTGATGCCCCATATTTCCCTTTCCTAATTCCACCATCTATGGTTCTGAAGGAAAATGATTTTTGAAACCAGAATTCCACATCCAGCTAAATTATTAACCAAATATGAGGGTAACATAAACTTTCAAATAGGCAAGGACTCAGAAATTTTACTTCTCAGATACATTTTCTGACATAATTACTTGAAGATATTCTCCAATAAAACAAGGATGTAAACTCAGAAAGAGGAAGATGTAGAACTAACTAGGAAAAAAGAATCCCAAGATGAGAGATGTACAATAGCTCAAGAAATTAACCAACAGATTGGAAGAAAAAAAAAATGCCTCCAAAGAAGAATGGAATATATTCCATTAGATATAGATATAAAGACTAAGGAAATGGATAATACTGATCATTTGGTAAAAAAAAAAAAAATCATTTTTTTCACAATAAGACAAAATAACAGTAATTAGAAACTCCAGAAATACAAAACCTGGATAAGACAGTCATGGTTCAAATATAACACAAACTAAAATGTGACATTATTTTGAACAACTGACAAACAGTAATTAATATTAGGAAGTCTTTTCCTTTGAATGGGGCAAGGGTTGTAATACTGAAACAATGGGTGAGGAATTATGATTAGAAAACACTATCTCTACATTGAAATTATTTTATATAGAACAATTATAAACAGAATTGGTTAAAAGGGCCTTTGAGGGGTACCCGGCTGGCTCAATCAGTAGAGCATATGACTCTTGATCTCAGGGTCATGAGTTCAAACCCCACACTGGGTGTGGAGCCTACTTAAAAAAGTGGGGGCGGGGGGCACTTTGAAAAGTGGGATTTTTTAAAAAAATGTTTACATATTACATTTGATTAAAAATGAAAGATAAAACAAAATAAGAGTAAAGGCAGGAGTTACTAAGTCTGGTGGGCAAAAATGTGATGAGGAACAGAATATTTACATAGTCTCAAAGTATCTGTTCACAAATTCCTTATTAGTTGCCAAGGAGAAAACAGTAACTTCAGTGGGCAAACCTGGCAGACCATATCTTAAATAACCAAAAGTAGTCAACATGGGCCATGCAGTTTCAATAGAAAGCAAAGTAAAACAAAAAGGTGTTAACAAATAGAGGGAAAGAGCAAGAGACAGAAAGTCTTAATAAAGGATAAAGAATAGATGGGTGACCTATTATTAATGTGAGGAAAGACATTTACATTGTGAATTTATTTCCCCATCAGAAACTAAAAATTATAATATCTACTTACCAACCCAACACAGTTGCTTAAAGCCACTTTAGTTGTACTACGTTGATCTTGCAAATATCCTGTGTAATGACAGTTGTCTAAAAAATCATGTTTCCACTGGGGTCCATCTTTCCCCCAATATTCTACTGTAAAATGTTTGGACACGAAATCTGTGTTGAGAGTCAAGTTTAGGTGAAAGTGCTTGCCATAGGCTGAAAGTTTAAAAAATAACTTAGATATTGTCTGCTGTGGATCGATAGGGTCCATACTCCGTCTTCTCCTGGAGTGTTTATCATTTTTCACAGTAAAGCTGAGAAAAGCTCCATTTTGATCAACCCTTATTGGAATAGTTAGCTGGTAGTGTTCTAGATAAGTCAGGAATTCCTCTTTGTAATCACAAGGCAGAGAATCCAGAAAAAACACATGGAAGAAAAGAAAATTTAACAGAACAAAGAAGTAGCAGTATAAACAACAAAAACTGTATCAGCATCATTATATGTGAGGTATGAACAAAAACTGTTATATTAAACAAAATGAAGCTTAAAATCTAATGATGAATTAAGTTCCAATTATTTCTCAAAATAGCATTATTTTAAAATTAGTTTGGAAGACTATTTTTCTTTTTTATATTTATTTCTTACTGGATTCTAAAAGCTAAATTCTTATAGGAAATATGAATATCTTATAGTGAAATAAAAAAACAGTGAAAAGTACACATATTTAAAATAATAGAATTTAGCTCCAGTAAAATATGTTTGTTAAAGTTATCCAAAGGAGTTAATATCGAATTTCTACAGCCTTGTAGAAATATTTTTTAAATCATCAGTTGGAATGGAAAATACAGAAGCCACTTTGGAAAACAGTCTGGCAGCTCCTCAAAAGGTTGAACATGGAACCACCACCCGACCCAGCAGCTCCACTCCTGGATATTTACCTGAGAGAAATGAAAACACATATCCACACAAAAAGTTGTACATGACTGTTCATAGCAGCATTATTCATAATGGCCAAAATGGAGAAATAATCTGATTGTTCATCAACTGATGAATGAATAAATAAAATGTGGTCTATTCACACATGGAATATTATTCTACACAGAACTGATATCTGTATGACATGAATGAAACTTCATAATAACTGCCTTCAATATTAAAGTTCATAATCTAACGTTTTAAAAACATTATGCTAAGTGAAAGGAATCAATCACAAAAGACCACATATTATATGATTCTTTTGTAGGAAATATTCAGAATAGGAAAATCTCAAGACAGAAGTGGATTAAGGCTGTTTAGGACTGGTTTGGAGAGTGGTTTGGAGAGAATTTGGGAGTGACTGTTAATGGGCATAGGGTTTCTTTTGGGGTGTTGAAATGTTCTAAAATTGATTGTGGTGATGTTTGCATAACTCTGCAAATATACTATAAACCACTGAATTGTGCACTTTAAATAGGTAAATTGTATCGTATGTTTATTGTATCTCAATAAAGCTGTTAAAAAACATTAGATTGACAAAAAATTTAGAAGATTATTACACATATTTTCCTCACTTGGGTATACTTAATATTTCCAATCTACCTTCTTAACCACATCTTCCTTTAGTGAGGTTTACCACTAAGGGAAACCAAATGTCTGTCCATTGCCTCACTGTCTATACATGGAGTTCTCCCACAAATATAAATTCCCATGAGAGTATGACCAAATATAAATAAATTAAAAGACAGTATTTATTTCACTTCTTATAAATAAGAGTTCATACTAAATGCTACAGCTTTATTAATAAACTTTGAGAGCCACATTTTATACATATAGACTTCTAGACATATACATCAATGTATAAAAGCCTTGAAAGTCTGGCTCATCTGCACCAAAATGTTATTGGTTACCGTACATTCATGGGAGGGAAATCAAAAAGGTATTTTAATAAATCTATAAGGATTGGACATGTCCATGGAAAACAAAATGTCATTCACTCCAGGGATCTCTGTTAAGATATTTTCTAGGATATAAAGTTCAATTCTAGAGGGCGCCTGGTTTCCATTCTATGGTGGCTCAGTCGGTTGAGCGTCTGCCTTCGGCTCAGGTCATGATCCCAGGGTCTTGGGACAGAGCTCCCCATCGGGCTCCCTGCTCCGCGGGGAGCCTGCTTCTCCCTCTCCTCCCAGCTCCTGCTCTCTGCTGCTGTCTCTGTCTCTCTCTCTTTCAAATAAATAAATAAAATCTTAATAAATAAATAAATAAAGTTCAATTCTATGGATTCAAATTAGGGATCTATGGATTAGAGTTTGAGAAGTTGAACTTCTTACCACTCTTACTCTTTTACTCATATTCTAGTTCTTATATCAGAATTAAGTTTTGAAAGTATTTTTTCACTAAGGGTCCATATTAGAGAGCTCTCGTATCAGAATATGTACCAGTTTCTTGCTCTTTTATAACATAAACCCTTGGATTTCTTTTGAACATGACCTTGCCTGTAACCCTTAGCAACAGATGAGCTTATTAAAGCTTAGGACTCAAAAGAAGAAGAGGTCCAGGTCTATCATCTTCTAAGAAAGACCAGTCAACTCTAAAATACACTAGATGTTAAATACTAGTATAACAAGTTAGACTACCTAGAGCCCTCAGGATTTATGAAACTAGCACTGAATTGATGCAGTCGGCCTCCACTCCTATCACTACATATCCCAGAGAAAATGTTCACCCAAACTAAATATTCAGAATCTTTTCTCGTCAAATTAATAGCAATAGTTTTTTTGTCACTTTCAAAAGCAGGACTCCTACCTTGAGAACTGTATGAAAGCCTGTGGTCACTATGAAATTCCGATGAAGCCATGATGAGGCTCAAAATCCAGGTCAACGTCTTCCACAAAATTTCCATAATTTAGAAAACTGGATGATTTTTTTGGAGGGCTACCTATGTGCTAGAGAGTCAATACCATACCAAAATCGAAGCATAACAATTTTATTTCTTTAAAATTTCTTGCAAATTAATTATTAGATGTTCCACTGTTTAACAGGTACTTTTTTCCAACATCCCGTACTTTCTTCTATATCTGGATTCATTTTTTTCAATCCAAAAGGAAAAAAAGAATGATGTAAAATTTTCATAAGCAAAGCATTTGGCTGATTAGTTACTAAAGTATGGCCATTTTTTTAACCTAGAAAAACAAAAAAAAAAAAAATTATGTTAAATGAAAAATATCCTGTAGGGACAGAACTATATTGCTGAATGCTTGCCAAAAGACAAAGACTACAAAATGATTTAATATAGTTAAATTAGATTGTTGTTGTTCTTTATAGTCTAAATAAACATTCACAAGACTAAACAACCAGAAACCTAAATGGTAAGCAGGATAATGCCAAAGCTACTTAATAATCAAAGAAAGAATCTGAAGTGGAATCATAAAAATTCTCTTTTTAAAACTTTGAAGAAAACAATGTGTGGGTAGAGTGACTAACCTCCTTTCGATAAAATAAAAGGTAGAATGACTTCACAATCAAAATTCATTTTATGTAAGGGATAAACAGTATATGATCCTATTCCTTAACGTGCTTTTTAGAACACTCATATTCAAGATTGATCTGTTGCTTTATGAGGCACTTATCATTTTTTCTTAGAGTATATCTACAAATATACAATGACATTTAGCAGCTGTGTGTGAACACTCAGACACTAGCACAAACTAAACTTCTAAAACTTTAAACCATATTTACTGAAACCCTTGATTTTATCTGTAAGTCTTATATGACTTAAAAAGCAACACATATGAGAAAATTTCAACTATCTAGAATGTACTGATAAGAAAAGAAATTCATTTTCTGAAAAGAAAAGAATTTTCAAAAATTCATTTCAGGTATCACAACAGATTTCCTGTCCTATCTCATGTACTTTCTTTTTGACTCACAACCTCACTCACAGTCCATGAATTTACTTTTCATACAGAATGCTAACATATGTGACTACCTGATTTCCCAGCACACAGTATTTTAGAAGAAAAGAGCAAAGGAACTGAGAAACTACATCACTAACAGCACAAAACCGAAAAAAAGAAAGACAAACTAAAAATCCGTTGTAGAACCCTAAAGTAATACAGTTTGGGGTACAGGCAAATGGTCCTTAAATAGCTTGCCAGTTCCTATTGTTATAGCTCAATAGCTGATATTCAAAATACTGCCTGAGTCCGGAATAAAAGATTAAATTGTTTTTAATAAGATAACTTAATATTAATATAGAGAGGTACACAAAAAGTACTAGAAAGATTTTCAAACCGTATCCCCAATACATGAGATTATATAATAAATGTTTATATATGCATTGGTTAAAAAAATGAGTAAATGAATGAATAAATAGTGATTAAAAGAAAATCACTTTAGGCATATAAAAAGATATTTGTAGTTAATTGGAAAATCAATTTGTGTGGAATACTTCATTCCCTATGGTGTTAGAAATATTGGTTATTACAACATATAAAGCAACCACAACCATTTAAAACTTCTTCCATCCAAAAATTAATTCATTAATCAGCAAATATGCTTTACTGTGTTCTTAAAATGCTGTTATAACAACATGAGGATACAGAAAAGATTAACACAATCCTTGCCCTTTGGGAGTTCATAATCTAAGCAACAAAGAAAAAAACTCAAGGCAGATTGACATTTGCCATAATAAAGTTATGAAAAGGCATTGAGGAGATCAGCTGAGGGAAATGACTTCTGAATCAGAGAAGGATGGGTCAAGAAAAGCTTATTTAAAAAGTGACATTTGAGATAGGCTCTGGAAGATGAACCCAATTTCACAGTTCAAATTGATGGGGGCAATCATTGCAAATTAAAGAAATAGATTCTACAAAGTCTAGATAGCAAGAAAAAAATGAAAAATCATTTTAGTAATAATAGTAAGTTCGGTTCCTATGGAGAAAACTAACAGGCAATATCTAGAAAGTTAGTTTAAGGTCAGACCAAAAATGAAGAGAACTTTAAATATATTACTTCTTTAATATTCAGAACAATCTTATAAAGTAGATATTATTGCCCCTATGTCTGGCAGCCTCTAAGATGGCCCCAATGAGCCTGCCTCCTGATATCCACACCTTTGCGTAATTCCCTTCCCTTGAGTAACTTGAGAAATGTTACGAATAAAATGTTGAGAAAATGTCACTTCAATGATTAGATTATAAAAAATTCTGACTTCTATCTTACTAGTAGACTCTCTCCCTTTTGGTTTTGATGAAGCAAGCTGTCATATGGAAGGGCTCACATGGCAAGCAACTGAGAGCAGCCTTCAAATAACCACTAGCAAGAAACTAAGGCCCTCAATGTAATGGCCTGTGAGAAAACAAACCCTGCCCATTAATATGTTTAGAAGCAGATCCCTCCCCAGTCAAGCATTCTTTGGTGACCTGAGCCCATGCCAACATCTTGACTGCAGCCTCATTAAAGACCCTAAAGCACAGGATATAGATAGCCCCTTCATGCCCAGTTTCCTGAATCAGAGAACTGTGAGATAATAAATGTGTGTTGTTTTAAGCCACTAAGTTTATGGTGACTTTTTTTTTTTTTGCAAGAATTGATAACAATACAGCTCCCAATTTACAGATAAGGCAGTTGAAACTCATAGTGGTCAGACGGCTAGAAAATAGCAGAGCCAAGAGTCATACCAAAGGCTATCTGGCTCTAAAGTCTAAATTCTTTCTACCATATCATACTTCCAGTTTAAGGCACTCTAACTTAAATATTCAATAGTAGTCCCATGTAACCACTGTCAAATAATATATTCATAATAAATGGTATAAATTAATTGATGTGAATAGTTTTAAGCAACTTCACACACTATAATTGTTTCATCTCAAAATTATTTCCACAATGATTTAGGCAAGACATATGCTTAGTCAGGCAAAAATCTATAAAAATCTTTTAAGTCATGCCATTAGTCAATAACAGTAAAGAAAAGAATCCAGTTATCTTGATTCCTAACCAACTTACATACAGTATCCTTATTCCAAACCTTCCCATAAGATATTAAAGTGTAACTGTCACTTCATAAGCAAGATTCACTCTTCAGATCACTTGAGTGTTTTGCATAATAATGTCTGACATTAAATGAGTCCCTCATATACCTTAATCTTCCTCTAAAGAAGAACATATAATTAACACATCTGAGTTCATTTTCTATTAGTGGTGATATATTTGTATGACTCCTTCATCCTTTTTTCCTATTTTCCTGGGCTCTGAAACTAATGACAAACTTAAAGTTGTCTGGGTTTAGGGAACAACTATTTTCCCCTTAAGAAATTTCCTGCTCTTCAGTTTTGTAACCTCCACTCTTACAATCATTACCACTGTCCAGTAAACGCCCAAGTTAAGCAAGCCAGTAGCATTGAGAGAAAAAGTAATATGTAACAACTTGGCCAGAAGTAGACTAACATTTGATTTAAGGACTTGTAGTAAAAAGCGGCATTGGTGCATAATAGAAAGAGCAGGAGCTTTAAAGTTAAACCAAAGCTTGTTTCCACCACTAGCTACAGTATCTGGCACATGGGCACTCAATAAATTTGAGTTTCTTTCTCCTTTCTCACACCCTCCCTCACTCCCCACTTTTTTCTTAATCCTCTGGTGCCAGTGAAGGAACTTAAATAATAAGTAAATGAGTTGGCTCAGGTCAACTAAAATCAGCAACAACTAACATATCAACCTCTCTTAGTTACCTACACAATAAAAATTAATAGTGAACCTACTTTCTGACACCTGCTCAAGAGGTTAATCTGGATATTATAAAGAAATATGTATAAAACACTGACTTTTTCAAACATAGTTTCCATAATTCAAACCAACATTAAAATATTACATAATTGTCCATAAATCATAATGTATTAACTCTTTACATTGTATAGGAGAAGCATTATTACGTTGTGGAAAAGATAAAGGCTTTGAGTCCTGGCTTGACTCCAAGTTACTTAACCTCTCTGGATGTGTTTCCTCATCAATAAAACCAGGATAATAGTATCTACCTTACAAAGACTTGTCGATTACATTAGATCACACATGATGTAAAGTGTCTGCACCCTTTACTTTAATGGCTGAGGAAATATTAGCCCTCTCTCCTCCTTATCTTACCCATTACTTTTCAAAGGCCTTCCTTCAAAAACAGTTTCATGTTCTTTCTTCCCCTCAAAATGTGGAAGAGTTAAATATGATGATAGGAATCAATCAATAACATCGTCTTTTAGAGCAAATAATAAAGAATTTAGGTCATGATAACTGGTCTTACAAATATTTTAAATTTGAAAACTTCCATTTTACTTTGATTCCACATATGCTTTTTTTCCTTATACAAATGTACCAGCCAGTAAAGTTAAGGGATCATTTACCTGCTTCCATGGATCAAAGGTACACTAGCTAAGTGGAAATAAGATCAGACAACTTGCTCTACAGTTACTGCCTCAAGTAGTCTCCCTAGTTGAAGGGTTCTTACTTGTCTTTTTCCTCTATCATCTTGACTTCCTACTCAAGTGATCTGGGAGTAGTCAAGGTAATAATTTCCTCTCATGAACTATTATTATGGAGCTAAAGAACATGTATAACATCCTACTCAACTTCTTTCATCCATCTTAACTCTGGTTGTTTATTTTAAGGCTGATTTGGTCTTCACAGAGGAAGCAACACTACTGTGTTCCCTTCACGTATTTCACTTTTATATATGAAAATTAAATTCTCATTTCATTTGCCATTTATTCTCTCGACAAATGTCTAGTGTCACTTACTATATGCCAAGAACACTACTAAGCTGTAAGTACAAAGGTTTCCAGATCATTTATAAACTTTGTGAGATTAGTGTCCCAAGGTGTAATTGAAAACACTCAAAACTCACCTATGAAGAAGAGCATATGAACCCAAAGC